ACAGCATGACTTCCTGTTGAAAAGACGATGCCTCCTCCCTTCCTTTATCTGTTCCTTTCCCTGTCTTTTCTCACCATCCTATTGGCTCCACCCACCCCCACCCCTCCCATTCTGCTTTCTTTTTGTATCACCCTATCTGTTCTCTTTTGAGATGCTCGCAAACCTTTTCTTCCTCTTCTTTATCTCTGCTTCTTCTTCAAATCCTCCGCTTTCCTTCTCTCATCATCTGCACCAGGGCTGAGCCAGAGCAGAGTTTTTGCTTAAAGGGGCTTTACACACACCTGATGCATGAAATTGTTTAAAACCAGGTATTTTAAGAAGCATTGTACATTGTATTTTTTAGCATGGAAACAGTACAATGGCTTCGTATTTGTGTGGGTTCTAAACACAAAAAATGCTTCTATCACTTTTCATACTTGGAAAATATTGCTAAATGTTTTTGGTGTCATGACTTTTTTCTGCATGCAGGTGGAAGAACTTTGTGGGAATGCCTTATTTTTCTATATATTGTGCGTATGAGACAATACACACAAATCCTGGTTTCTTGACTTGTCCACTCATGACTAATGTCTTGAGAGTATGACCAATATGTCAAGATAACCTGGAATTGACCTTGTGTAAAAAATTAACCTTGTTCTTTCCCCGTGCAGAGACGCATAAAAAAAATGGTGATAACGTCTCTTAGATTGTTGCAGATCCAGTGAGAACAATTCAACAATTTAAAGAATCATTATGTTGTGAAAAAATGTAATTGCTGTAAACAGATAAAAAAAAAACTGAATTATTACTTCAGACATGGAGGTCGTAGATTGCAGTGGAAAAGGTCAAAACAGAAAACAGCATGAGAAATAAATTTTGTACAGCAAGATTCTCAGCAAGAAGAAAAATTCACTGGTTATTTTGTCGTACTGTGAATTTCAATAAAGTACCTGAAACCAAACTTCTTAAATTCTGACAGTTTGATGAAAATTTTAAATGGATGCAAGTTAAACCAGTTTAACAACGGACTGATGACAAATTCAAGTAAGGTTATAATGACATACAGTAGTCCCTCGATTATCACGGTGGTTACGTTCCATGAAAAAACGCAATGTGGGAAGGCGATATTTATTTTATTATATACATATATATATATATATATATATATATATATATATATATATATATATTGTGTGTGTGTGTGTGTATGTATAAAGGGTTTTATAAACCCTTCCCACACTCTTGTAATGTTCTAAACTCTTAAACCTACATAATTTTAACAACATGTGTATATGTGCTGCAGAGTACTGCAAAATTTGATATGGGTACTCACCAGCTCTGCAAGCCTACCCTGCAGCGACAAAGCCCACCGCCCTGTCCAGGTTGATGTGCACATGGATAATTGAACTTCAGGAAGTTTCAGGATTATTTGTGACTTTCCTGCCAGTTCTGTGAGCTTAATAGAGAGATTGTTACTTCTGACTGCGTTGCAAAACTTTCCTCCATTTCTGCAGAAAGCAGCGGGCCGGAAGCACTATTGGCTTTCGGGTAGTGTAGTTCTTTTGACTGACGATACAGTATAGGCTTATTGAAAGAAAACTACAAAATGGTGGCGCCTGTCCAAAGTTTTTATTATTATTTATTTTTATTTTTATTTTACTTTTTATCCTGTACCATCCCAATCACATGAGTAATATTAAAGTTGACAATCGTGTGTTGTTTACAATCTTGCGTTGAAAAACCGCGAAAGAGCGAGTCTGCGAAAGTTGAACCGCAAAGTAGCGAGGGACTACTGTACTTCTTTGATAGTAAAAAGGGGTGAAAAGTATTTTCTACTCTAAATGGTGAGGATTTTGGAAAATTGAACATTAAACAGGAGATTTTGATAGCAGATGTCCAAACCATTTACTTATATGGAAGTTTTGAATTGGTTGATCAACTTTCTTCTTGTCAAATAAATGATGAGGTGCCATTATGATGATTCATTTTGTGGGCTCACAAAGCCAAACTAACTTAATCATCTGATAGAAAGTGTTATAGTATATAGCATTGCATGTAGAAATGTATAGTGTGATGATGTAGCAAGAAGTAAAGCACACATTAATCTATATGTACTTTTATAACAGTGTTTGCTGAGAAGACGTTTTGTGATACTGTGATATGAGTATGTAGAACTCCCCTCATACATTGCAAATGTAACAAACAGGTTATTTGGAATCCTAATCAGCTGTTTAGAAAGCAAGAAATGATGTGTGGAAGATTTAGGTGTGTTTATTAAAGTGTAGGTGAGGTATTTTACGTTACGTAAACCCAACCTGCTGTCCTTCCTTCTTTGTCTGTCTCTCATATAGATGTATTTTTTCCTCTTTCTCCCAAACACTCTTTCTCTCTCTTGTCTTGTGTCTGTCTTTGTCTGTCTCTATCAATGTGTGTTTCTGTGTTTGTGTGTCTTTCCATGTGTTTGTTTTATCCTCCCTTCTCTTTACTCCTCTTCCTCTCTCTTCCTTTCTGTCGCTGTCACTGACTTTTGCTGTCACTACGTTCGGTGAAAATGGACAGGAGCAGCACCCGGTAAAGTTACTCCTCTGTCCTCTCTCGTTCCATTTCCTGCCCTCAATAACCGGATCAAATTGGCTACTTTCTCTTTCTTTCTTTCTTTCTTTAATCATAAGTATTATTTCAACCCAACTGTAGTATCACTACAAGTCATACTTTATGATAGGTTATTGCATAATGTTGCAATAGTTCAATGTAAAAGCTACATTTGAGAATTTAGAGATATTGTATAATGATAATGTAATGATTAAATTTTTGGAAATTGTGATACAAGTGTTTAACCAGCTTATTTAATATAAAAATACACACGAGCTTTTTCAGTTGCAGTTATTTATGAAAAGCAAAATAGCATTTTTTTTATTTTTTTTTTTGCAATTTACAGCCCTTCAGCAACCGGGTGTTTTCCTTCTAAACAAAGTTTTTTTTTTTATTATTAAGTGTCTTTGCTTTTTAGAACACAAAAACACACAAAAGAACACAGAACAAAATCCCCTCCCACACCGGATCAGTCACACATACATAAATAGTCTATACAAGCATTGACATGTTCTCAACAAATGACAGAAAAGACTGCCAGGTGTCCCAGAATCTTCCTGCAGAACCCTTCAGGGTGTATCTGATTTTTTTACAGATGCATATGTTACATGACTTCTCTTATCCACTGTATATAGGCTGGGGTGTCTGGGTCCTTCCATTTGCACAAAATGAGCCTCCTGGCCAGAAAAAAAGCCAAAGGTGATCAACATCCTTCTCGTTCTTGCTGGAGGATGTATCCACAGGGACCACCCCGAACAGTGAGATGAATGGTGATGGATGAACAGTTGTTCCACATATCCCAGAGAAGACGTCAAAAATAGATTGTCAAAGGGTCCGCAGTTTGGGACAGGTCCAGAATGTATGCAAGAGTGTAGCTGGAGTTTGTTTGCAATGATTGCATGCAGGGTCCAGGTCGGCTTTGATCTTGGACAGCTTGTGTTTGGACCAGTGCAGCTGGTGCACCACCTTGAATTGAATTCCAGCGTGTCTCAGGCAGACTGCAGTGTTTTCCTCTTAAAACATAGATTTTAAAGAGACTACTGACTTAATTTGCCATTTTAGAAGCAAATAATTTCAGCCGAACATTTGTTTTATAAGTGTGGCAGTGGTGAATTCATTCATATAGTAATCCGACAAGAGGAAGAACTTCTGCTATTAGTTATTATGCTTGTGTGCGTGGGTGTATTCTGTCTGTGAGATTCTGAGGGTGAGTTTATGTGTAGGGATGTTGCCACTTCCTCACACCTTTGGCCTTGCAAGGCTTTACTTTAATACTCTAAAGCCGCTCTGATGGAGAGACCTCGGACACACTCTTTCAAACGAGGAATGCTCATTGATTATCGATTGACTTCCTCTCCTGCACTCCCCCTCCCCCCAGCACCCAGACACATGTAAAGCTGCCAAGACTCCAACTCAATCAATCAGCACTAAATTGAATTGTCATACATTTCCTGTCACTGGAACTGACTTCATAGTTTAAGTGCAAGCGTTGATTTCCCACATTTTTTTCTGACTCAGCCTCCTGGTCCAATTGTCCACTGTCTTGTGTTTTTGTTTTTTCAATCTACTTATTATTTCCACTTACGTAAAAACATTTTCTATTTATTAACTTTATTATAAATTTCTAAAGCATAAACAAAATATCAAATAATGGACCTCATATGGGTGAAAAGGATATAGTCAGGACCAAATGTATTTTCTTCCAGCTCTTCTTGTGGCTCGTGTGATGCTTATAGTTTTTGTCTGTGTTGTCACGTATGATGTTGTGGTTTGTGAGCAGCATCATAGGTCCAGTCATTCTCACATAGCCTCCTTACTCTACCTGTCAGCTTTTGAATCTAATCAAGGAGAAATAAATAATAATATTAATAGCAAATATTGCACTCTGAACTTGAATTAAAGGAAGCTGTGTAAAAAAAAAAAAATTCAACAAGATAAATTTAGGATTAGATCAAAGTAACATAAATTCCAGACTTTATGTTTTCACATCTAAAATGTTCATTTCTTCAGAAGAGCTGAATGGCGCATCACTGAAAAAGAAAGAAAGAGATTTGGCCGGGCACTCTGCCGGCGAGTTGCCTGTCGCTTGCGATATGTGAACGTGTGCTTACTGATGATAAAGATCATTATAAGCAGCGATAATGGCACTTCTGCTGTCCATGAAACCAAACGGTCAGAAAACTCTCTGTTGGTTTCATGTTGGACTGTAAGAGCTTTGAGTGTAATACATTTGTAATGTATTGCTTTAAGAAAATGTTTCACATTTTCTGCGTGTGGGTATATTTAGTATTTCTTTGTAAATCTTATATTGTTGAATAATAGCTAAGAGGTTTGGTAAGATCTCTTTGCAATTGTTCAATTCCATCATTTCTCCACTCTTCTGTCTGATTTTGGGATGTTCTTTTTTTCTTCTCATGTCCGGACACTAGGGGGAGCAGCAAAGGGAAAGACATCAGTACGATCAAATCTCTCCGTGTGTTGAGGGTCCTGCGTCCACTTAAGACCATCAAACGTCTCCCCAAGTTAAAGGTAGCGCTCAACAGATGTGCCGATTCATCTGCTTTCAGGGTCTGCACCTCAAGTTTTGCTCTCTAAAAAACAACTCAACAGCTGGTGAAAGCCTGTCTTTTCAAAATAGCTGAAACTTCTTGTAATTGCTGAAAACTGCAGAACAAGGAATGCAGAGTAAATTAACTGGATAACTTTATGTAATGTTCTAACTTTATTTAATTATTACAACTGGACCTTTAAAGTTTATCACTTTACCCTCTTTTAATAGATTTTCATTCTACCGGCTAAAATGTATTCACAAATCCAACAAAGTTAAGTCAGGTCCTCTGGACGGTTTCTTTTGTTGAAACGTTTCGTCTTTCATCCAGAAGACTTCATCAGTCCGGGGAGCCACAACAAACTTAAGTCTTATAAATCAGTGGTTCTCAAATTGGGGTCCCCAGACCCCCATGGGTCCGCGAGCTGGTGCTCGGGGGTCCGCAAAAATAATAGATAAATAAAAATTATATATATATATATATATATATATATATATATATTTTTTTTTTTTTTTTTGTTTTCACAAGCACATAGCTGTTTAACAATCCGTTAAAATATACAAAAATGCAGGAAATCACATCTGCTTTATTCAAAAAATTTTGGGGACCCCCCGCACCACCCCCGCTGGCCCACCCGCTATTTGCGTTCCAGCATCGATCATTTTACAAATGAAGCCATGTTTCTTGATGTGACTGCTGCTGTTATGATTCTGTTCAGTTTTATGTAAAATAAGTTTTCTGTAATAATTTGAAGAAGTGGCGATACATTTATTATGTTCATTATGTGAATAGGTCAAGTTTTAAAATTATTTTTTTATAGTTATTTTCCTCAAAACTGTAATTTTTGGAAGTTGAAATAAAAAAAATTGTTATTTTTGTCTTGAATGAAAAATACCCCGTGTTTAAACGCATACAAATTGTATTAACACTATTAAAGAACAGGTCTTAAGTATTTATGTTACACAAATATTTCTATTGCATTAAAGAGACAAATTTAAGAAAATGATTTAATAAACATGAGGGTTATGAGAGGTCTCTGACACTTTTTCTCTCTTGTAAGGCGTTCCTGAACCCAAAAAGTTTTGAGAACTCCTGTTATAAATGGCACTTTCACATAGTGGGTCAAACAGTTTGATGTTGCTCTGATGGTTTCTGGAGTGTGCCCTCTCGATTCGGCGGGGAAACCATCCAGAGGACCTGATTTAACTTTGTTTGTTTTTTCTACCTGTATTATTGAGCATGAATACAGTAAATCCCTTCCTTTTTGCCTCGCAGGCAGTGTTTGACTGTGTGGTGAACTCTCTGAAGAACGTGTTGAACATCTTGATAGTCTACATGCTCTTCATGTTCATCTTCGCTGTTGTGGCTGTGCAGCTCTTTAAAGGCCGCTTTTTCTACTGCACAGACGAATCCAAAGAATTTGAACGTGATTGCAGGTCAGTTACGAAACACCAGAGTTTATCTATTAGTCCTTTTTGCTTGTGTTAACATACTGCAAAAGATATAAATAAAATCCCTTGTAAAGTAATTTTTAATCATTATTAATCTCAGTACATCCTGTATCAAAAATGCATCCATGGATTTAAATTTTTGTGATAGAAAACGTGGTATTTTCTTGAATTTTAGATATGCTTGTGCTTCCACCTAGAGGAAGTTACAAGAAATAGTACAACTCATGGAGAGGCTGAACCTCAATTCTTAAATCACATTTAAATAGAAAAAAGTATCCTTTCGATTATGTATAGGTGGGGGTGGTCTGCATTTTTTTGTTTTTGTGTCTATATTTTATTTATCTTTTACAAAGTGTTATTGTACATGCATTTGTGCACAGATTTGTATTCAAGTGTACTTTCTCCCCATTGCAGAGGCGAGTTTTTAGTATATGAAAAAGATGAGGTGAAAGCTGAGAAGCGGGAATGGAAGAAGTACGATTTTCACTACGACAACGTAGCTTGGGCCTTGCTCACCCTCTTCACGGTTTCCACTGGAGAGGGGTGGCCACAGTGAGTGCACTACTCACACACACCAAGGGTGAAACATACGCAAACCTAAAAATTAATGTTGGCACATATTACTTCCAATAAATCCAGAGACAGCAATGAGGTTAACTTTTCATAGACTTGCCATATGCCACTCCCATAATATCACTAACTGCTAGATGAACTTCTATCACAATGCCCAGACAACACTGGTCAAACTAAACACCCCATTCAACAATAAATATCAGCCTGAATGGCAAAATAATTATTAAACCAGTCATAATCAATCCCAAAAGTCACTGCCTTACTTTTAAAGCAAGGACTCTTGGGAGTTTTAAATAGCTACTTTCCTAACTTCACGTGAGCTGCAGTGTTAATGCTAGCTTGAACATAAACAAGAATTAGAGATTTGGTTTCTGCTCTGTTATTGTATGAATGTTTATGAAGCGTTCACACTACCAGTAGTGTGATCCATTTTTCTTCTGTACATTTTTCGGCATCTTTCTCGTTCCACAACTTTTCAAATCATTTATCAAAACAATCAGCTGTTTCAGGACAATCCTGATACAATTTTTGGTACTGGCATAACTTTAGCTGTTTTGAAATATTTAGCCTTTTCTGCCATTTTTTTTTTTTTTTTTTTGTCATAGAAAATTAATTGAGCTCATTTTACATCCTTCAGATCTTTAGATCTGTTTACAACCTTTTACTGCTCCTTTCACATTTTGTTCTGGTTTAGCTTCTTTCAGCTTCCTTGTGCATATTTAAACATTTTTTCAGCTACTTTCAGCTGTTTTTTTTAGCTGTGTTGTGCTTCTTTTAGATTCTTACTGCTAACTAGAAGGTTTTTGTGCTTCTTCTAACTTCTTTCTGCTAATTTCATCTTATTATGCTCCTTTCAGCTTATTTATGCAAGTTTCAGCTATTTCAGCTACTGTTTAGCTGCTTTATGTTAATTTTATCATTTTCAGCCAATTCCATATATTTGCAATAATTTAAACTTTTTTAAGCCTAATTCAGCAAAAGTATGCTCTCTCTACTTTGTCCTTTTAATTTCAGCATCTTTCTGCTTTTTAGCTGCTTTTCAATTCACTTCAGTTTATTTATAAAGCGCCAAGTCACAACAGAAGTCATCTCGGGGCACTGAACAGAAGCTGTTTGTTGCTCATTTCATATATTTTCTGATAATTTCCACTTTTCTGTGATCATTTCTGCTTCTTTCAGCCTAATTGGGCAAACATGTTCTTTCTGTTTTCTTCTGCTAATTTAAGCTTGTATTACCTTTTCGGCTACTTTTTAGCTAATTTCAGCTATTTTCAAGTAAATTCAAGTTTTTTGTGGTAATTTCTGCTACTTTCAGCCTAATTAACTTATTTCTGCTCGTTTCAGATTTTTCTGTTATTTCAGCTACTTTGTGATTTGTGTTAAATTTAGCGTTTCCAGCTAATTTTTTTAGCTCATTTCAGCTCCTTCTACTTCCTTCTGGTATTAAGCTTTTTTCTGACTTTTCAGCTACTTTTCAGCTATTTTTTGCTAATGTCAAGTTTTTTTAGCTAATTTTCTCATTTCTGTGCTAATTTCTGCTAATTTAAATCTAATTCCGCAAGTATGTGTTCTTTCTGCTTTCTTCTGCTAACTTAGGCTTGTTCTCCCATTTCAGCATGTTTTTAGCTAATTTCAGCTTTTTGTCAGCAAGTTCTTCAGTAATAAGAATTCACACTGCATTTTCGCAGGAAATTCAATTTCTCTAGTTTTATTTTCTTTTTCCATTATACAGTGCTACAACTAACTGTTTTTTTGTTTGTTTGTTTGTTTTGGGTTTTTTTTCTTATTAATTATTTTACTATTTAATGGTTTTATTTAAGTTTATTATGGATTCCAGCCCCTAGTAGCTCCCCTCTTCCCACACTAATGTTTGCACATATTGCTTTGGATTCCTTTAATAAGCTCCATTTGCTCAAATATTAGATTTTAAAGATGAAAATAAGGGAACCACGTTGTTGATAATAAACTACTTTTGCAAAAATGTTTTTAATTTTCTATCATTTAGTAACTCAAAGGGAATCTGGCAAACCACTTGTCAGTGCAAATGCTCTGTTTTGTTTTGTTTTTTTAAGAGACAAAATATAAATACTTATGTTTACTCGTTCATCTGTTTTTTCATTTAAACATGTCTTTGTTTTGTCTTTTTCACATCCAGGGTGTTAAAGCACTCAGTGGACTCCACTTTTGAGGATCAGGGCCCAAGCCCAGGTTACCGGATGGAAATGTCCATCTTTTACGTGGTGTACTTCGTTGTCTTCCCTTTCTTCTTTGTAAACATCTTTGTGGCTCTCATCATCATCACCTTCCAGGAACAGGGGGATAAGATGATGGAGGACTACAGCTTAGAAAAGAATGAAGTGAGGCCAAATTTTGAAAGGGATAGTAATGCTTTAAACAGATGATGTCTAATTTTTCTAAAAAAAAAAAATTCATCTTTAAAAGCCAACTGTGTCTGCATTTTTCCTAATGTCTTTTTCTCTATACTTCTCCAGAGAGCCTGCATAGATTTTGCCATTAATGCCAAGCCTCTGACTCGCCACATGCCAAAGAACAAGCTTAGCTTCCAGTATCGCATGTGGCATTTTGTCGTATCTCCTCCCTTTGAGTACAGCATCATGGCTCTGATTGCGCTTAACACTATTGTCCTCATGATGAAGGTATAAATCACACTTTATTATTTGATCAAAGCACATCTAATACTGTATAGTCAAAGCATTACACTAACACTATGCTTGTCACTTTTCTCGTTTTTCTGATGTTGTTTGTCTACAGTTTCAAGGTGCATCAACAGCGTATGATAATGTCCTGAAATACCTAAACATTGTGTTCACCACTTTCTTCTTTATGGAATCAATCCTGAAAATCATAGCTTTTGGCCCTCTGGTAAGACTTATACGAAGCACCTGCACACAGCTACATGCACACCTTGTTCTTTTCTAGGTTGACCCACTCTATAAGCTCCATTGTTCCGTTGCATTGTTCATTTATAAAGCTGGATATTTCCATAGACAGATCTAGAGCATGTCCTTCCTTTCCTTAAAAAACCCAGAGCAGATTGTGCTGCACAAACCATCCTTTTCCAGCAGCACCATTCACCACCTTTGTGTTTTGTTTCTGGTCTAGACATAAATTTAAACTAGGCACAAGAAAGGAGCCCAGATTGAAGCTAAGACAAAACTAGCATCTTCTATAGCAGCTATATTTGAAGTTTTAAGTCCATGTACATGTATGGGACAATTTCCTGACTAGAAAATAAAAATACGCCTCACATTATTTTTTTTCAAGTATTGTTTTTTGTTAATTCACGTAGTGTTTACCTTGGTCCTGTATGTTCACATATTCTTATTTTTTGTATATGATTAGTTGTAATGAGTTATTTGATGTCTAAGAAAAAACATAATTATGGGCGGGGCTTTCAGCTCATCTAGTACTCAAACTTTACTCCACAAAATACAATATGTCAGCACCCAAAAAATATATATTTTGGCTTGACTTTTGAAACAACAGAAGTAGTTGGGGACGCTTTGTCTACTTTTATTTTACGGTCTTAGTTTTCTGGCTTCTGTTTCTGAAAAGGTGTGGCCACCTGTTGTTGACGTCACTCACCTTCTCATTGGTCATCGTTTACGTTCTTCTCTTTCAGAATTACTTCAGAGATGCCTGGAATGTTTTTGATTTTGTCTCTGTCATTGGAAGCATTACTGACATATTAGTGACAGAATTTTGGGTAAGTGCTTTGGTTTGTTTGAGCCAGATGAAATTTGTTTGCTATAGGTAAAAACAACAGAGCCTGATTTGTTAACAAAAAAAGACAAACAAAAGGCAAAAACGATATGTAAAGTAGTCATTTGGTGGAACATGGCTTTCGTTTAACATTTGTTGGTATTTAAAAAAAACATGACAAATGATAAAACATGTCTTACTAGTGAGCTGGCAGAATGTGTAAAAAAAAGTTTTAGATATACAGTAGTCGCTCGCTACTTCGCAGTTCGTTTTTCGCGGACTCACTACTTCGCGGTTTTTCAAAACACGATTGGACATGACACACAGTTGGCTGATTGATGGAAGAACTGCATGATAGGCGTCGGATTTTTATTTGAAACTAATTATTTAAAATCATTCAGCATCTCCTGCATCTGCGTGCAGCCCACAGCTGCAAGACAAGCTTCCTCCTGCAGCGTGTCAGATTTCCGCTCTGCAGCAGAGAAGTGGGCGTGGCTGAGAGCGCTGGCAGATGACAGAGCATCCAGAGGCAGAGAGCTGAGATCATGACAGGCTGTGCTCTTTCAAAGCGTTTAGAGTTTAGAAACATTGATTAGAATATTGCAAGAGTGTAGGAAGGGTTTAAAACACCTTTATATATATATATATATATATATATATATATATATATATATATAT